AGATGAGCATTTTCCGCTTAGGGTAAGCAGAGATAAGCAATTGGATTGGTTGATGCTTTGGGACACGATAACTCTCTTCCTAATTGGGCTAGAATGTTCAAACTTGGTGTATGTGTTGATTAGGTCAATGCCTTGATGGAGTTCGAAGATGAGCATTTTCCGCTTAGGGTAAGCAGAGATAAGCAATTTGATTGGTTGATGCTTTGGGACACGATAACTTTTAATTGAGCTAGAATGTTCAAACTTGGTGTATGTGTTTATTAGGTCAATGCCTTGATGGAGTTCGAAGATGAGCATTTTCCGCTTAGGGTAAGCAGAGATAAGCAATTTGATTGGTTGATACTTTGGGGCACGATAACTCTCTTCCTAATTGAGCTAGAATGTTCAAACTTGGTGTATGTGTTGATTAGGTCAATGCCTTGATGGAGTTCGAAGATGAGCATTTTCCGCTTAGGGTAAGCAGAGATAAGCAATTTGATTGGTTGATGCTTTGGGACACGATAACTTTAGTTCTAATTAAGTGAGATTGATGAAACTTGGTGTATAGTTTCATTACAGTAATACCTTGACTAAGTTTGATAATGAGCATTTTCTGCTCAGGGTAAGCAGAGCGATACGCAATTTGATTGGTCGAGACTTTGGAAAACAATAACTCTCCTACTTTGATTGTCCCCCGCCTTTCGAAGAAAGCAGGGAACTATTAAAATGGGTTCGTCCGTCTGTCTGTTTGTCTGTCTGTCTGTCCGTTCCGCTTATGGTAAGCAGAGATAAACAATTTGATTGGTTGATCTTCGAATTGAGTAAATGTTCATGCTTATTGTCCCCCGCCTTTCGAAGAAAGCAGGGAACTATTAAAATGGGTTCGTCCGTCTGTCTGTTTGTCTGTCCGTTCCGCTTAGGGTAAGCAGAGATAAACAATTTGATTGGAAGCTCGTTTATATAGTTTATGCTTTAGTTCTTGAAGAAGCTTTCCAATGTATTACCCCTGTAATTCCTCCTCTTTTATCTGTACAATATTTTCGAAAAAAATGAAACGAAATCCACTTATGTATACATTTAGGTTACATTATAGCCTACATGTCCCGACTCAACTTGCCACATTACATGTCATAATATTATAACCAGGTATTGATAAAAGCATCAATTGAGCAATTCCAATACAATCCAATACAATGAATATAGGCAAGGTAAATAAACAAATAAATGGAAAAAACAAATTGAAAAAGAAACTATTATAAATTAATTAAATATGTAGTATGCAATAATGAATTGACATTTAATGACAGAAAGAAAACAGTGAACTTTGCACAACTTGCAGCAAGATGGAAAATAGACCCGTTGATACAACCAAACTCTAGATCTGTAGGCATAGAGCATGTTTTCCCCTTAATATGCTATAATTATTCCATCAAAAACATTGTATGCTTAGACTATAAGTAAAGATATACTGTTTGATTGTTCAATACTTTGTAAAAGATAATTTGTGATAAATTTATATGTGTCCTCTAATTATTTTCCTATTTCGGCGGGGGACATCAGCCTCACTGTTGGCTTGTTATTATTATTATTATTTTCTTACTTTTTTTTTATTGCATATTTATTTCCATCTTTCTTTCATTTCAGGTGTCAGGTTACTGTGCAAGAGTGGTATGATTGACCTCAACACAAGTATTAAGGCAAAAGGTGGGTATAAGACAATGGCTTGCATTTGTCTGTCTTGCTTATTTACTATAGCTGTGATCCTGTAAAGTGTCATCTGCTGTTGATGGCTGGTCTAAATGGCCCTTTTTGTAGTCGGGTCTGGATTGGTATTCTCTGTGGTACAGACTTTCTCTTTCTATTTGCCGCAGGGAATATCTTGTCTTTGGAGAAAGATGGGCCCCAAGGAGTTTAGCTTTCTGCTCAGTGGCACTCTTTATTCCATCATTGCTTCTCAATATTGTTGAGGAAAGTCGACCCATTGTAATTTACATTCTTTGGAAGTGAAACACTCAACGAGCGGTTGATTGCTTCACATTTCTGTGTATTTGTTTGGAATTTGGTTTTTTCTAAAGCTGCTTCACTTATTCGGATTTTTAAAATTTCACTTAGAATTGATTTGTCATTTTCATTCATTTTCAGGGAATCAACTTTATTTGAGGCCAGATACATGGAACGGTTCCACCAGTTATTTGTTATCCCACCCCGGCACACAACAGAATGAAGGCGGCACTTTGAGCAGTCGCCATCGTAACACATGATAGTGGACTCTAGGACTTTTGGTAGGCGTTTTCTCATCTCCTCAGTATTACCACAATGATTTTCAAACAATGTAGTCATGATTAGACTGCATCTAGCTTTTACATCTTGGCTCAGTATTTTCTTGATCTTGCCCTTATCCAGTCTGGTTTTACCAGGAAACATCTCCTCGCTGAACTTTGCATTATAGCAGTGCCTAAATTGAGTGGCAGCCAGGTGTGAAGGGTCAGCTAGTCGCTCCACACTCCACATCGGATGCAAAATTTTAAAACTATCTTCAATTCCAGCAGCTGATCGTCCATCTCCATCTGTTGTTGCATATTTGATGAGGACGTTTTGGAGAGCTAGTTCTGTGCCAATGCTTTTCCCCATGTCATACTCAGATAATGGTGCGTGAACTGGTAAATTTGCAGTACAGCCTTCGTGTCCCTCAGGGCAGTTGACAATAGAACCTTTTCCCTTAAGCCAGGCACCTTTCCAGCACAGTTTTTTTTGCATCACAGTACTCAGGATATATTTGTGCTTTGTGTTTGTCTCGCATGCAATTCCAATGGCTTGCGAGGCTGCTTGCCCTGGCTTTTTACTGTGGCCTATGGTTATGCTGTTGTAACGCCCATCCACTGCAACATTTATTATATTTGGGTTTACTGACCCTCCCTTCTGATTAAAAGATTTGACTGCTTCTATTTTTTCCCTCATGTTAATAGTGTTCAACCTTGTCATTTTAGCACTAACTTGGTTAGAAAGAGTCTGCATGCCACTCCGAGAGGGCGGTGGAATATCCAAATCTGTCAACAGCAGCCGAGCTCTGGTGTTTCCAACCGGCATGTCTAACAGTCCAGATTGTAGGGTCAGATTAATAGCGGCTGCCTTTCTTCCTGGTTTGCCAGTTGGAATCTCTTTATACAACTTGTAGACAGGTGAGATAAATGTACATTTTGTACACTTTACAGAGTACATCCAACCCGCTCCCCACTTCTGCTCACTAACAGGCTGGAAATTTGGTACTACACAGGCCTTTCTTCTCCCCTGGGCATGTAACCGAATGACAGAATTCCACATTTCGAACATTTTCTGGATGTCTATAATCCTGTTTCCCTGGATAGTATTCGCCTCAGAATTCTCAGTCTCATCCAAATTTAACATTTCAGGTCTACATCTCAAAACCCGATGACTTCCCGGACTGGCATTAGTAGAAAGATGATGCATATGAATTTCATCCCTGATCTCTGTGACACCTGTGGAAGTTGAGGGCAAATCATAATCAGTTTGGGTTCCAGCCGAGGACCCCTGTAAACGTTGCTGTTTAGTGTTGACTTCATGTCCGAGCTTGAAAAAGACAGCCTTGCGTTTATTATGGCCTCTCATATTGGAAGATAACATAAATGGCTTGTATGTTGACTGTTGTGCATATCTCTGGGTCAGGAAAGTTGTAGGTACCATCAACATTGTAAATCATTTGACAGACCAGAATGGAGAGTGAGAACTATGATTGGTCAGCCATGTATCAGATTCCATACTAGGGGGTGGCGATCATAAAACTGTTGTAGTGTTACATAATCAGATTATCTGAACTTAATTGTCCTTTGTAAATACAGCTATGTAGGAGACATTTTAAAATTTATAGGCACTGCATGTTTCAACATCTTAGATTTGACCACAATTTGGCTCTTGAAACTGCGTTAAGAGAGAATAACTAAGATCTTTTCGACGAAAATGTTAAAAAAATCTAATATTACATGATAATTACTGTTTTAAAGGATTTTCTTGTTTGATTTATATTGAATTTTTGTTATCTTTTTACAGAATGCATTTATGTTCAAAAATAAAAATGTTCTGTTTAATTCAAAATTCATGTGCTTTTAAATTTCTGTCTGAAATTCCGCAGTTTTCTGATGTATTGTAGTGTTTGCAGAATGCTGCACAGCTCATCTGAAAATGCATAGATTTTCATATTCTTTGGCCAGGGAATTGCATGTATGTTTGTTTATTAGATAACAACAGATTTGTTTAAACTGCAGAAACATGTGAGGTATATAGGACTAAGACATGTAATTATTTCCCTTTATTTCATTATGGACGAATGTAGTGCGAGTTATAAATAGACAATTTTTCCCTTAATTTTTTTCTCCCCTCTTCCTGCAGTTTTGGGTTGACTTTTGGGTCTAGAATTGGAGAAAAGGGATCAAATTTGCAATTTCGTAGCAGTTTTGGGTAATACTGATGATATTACAGCGGAGGGATAGGGGGTGTATAGTGTCTTTCTGCAGAGCAGTCATTGTGTCGGAAGTGAGATTTTCACCCCAGTCAACTTCAGATCCGTGTACCAAAAAATCTAAACGGTCAACCCCCTACAAAATTATGATGAGGAGATTGCCAAATGTTGTCCCCATTGTGCCTATAAAGATTGGAACCAACGGAATGTTGAGAAAAAAGCTACAGCCTGTGATGTTACAGCCATTTAACATTGAAGTCAATGGGCAAATAATTGCTAGTCTGAGTCCGTTTTAACAGGTAGGAGTTATCTTTTACCCTAATCTAAAAATAATTACCCTGGTTTGAAAGGTATGGACAATTAAGGTATTTAAACAAATGATTACGAGAGAACATAACACTATAGACTTCTATGATAAGACATATAATACATGTTTAATATACATAGAAATGACAATGTCCTACGCTAACAAATTATGAAATATAATAGTATCAGTAAATATAAAAAAAAAAACCAAAGTAGTCGCGAACATCCTGGCTCTTGACTGCTTCAGATCCACTGTCCTGATAAAATGTCCCTCATAGAAAACTGTGTGTGATTGTCTGCGATATCACCTCGGTGGAAGCGGACGTAAAATACAACTAACACTAACTAAACTGTGTGTCGTATGCCCGTTTTCATTAGACCAGTCGGAGCAGAACAGTAGGACGTTACGCCCCATTTCATTTCATTTATCCATACGCATGTGTATTGCACAACACAACAACTTCACAATAACTGCGTATACTGAATATATCTATTTTACAATGTATGCGGGCCATGGTAACGTGCTGTTAGCACGCTCACTGTCGTCATTGTAACAAGGTTAAACAGCTGATATCGGGGAATACTGGGTTCTGGGAAACGATACCTATGTAATTATTGGAAACGAGTAACTATTTTACAAGGTAACTAAGGTGTTTTACTATTACTATTACTAGGAGGTGTTTATTGTTTATTACAAGTATTTTATTATTACTGTTACAAGGAGTAGCAACTGCATGTGGGGAAATTATACAAATAATCAATATATAGGTGATAGGAGGAATAACATATGTGCATACATGTTCGTACCTGTAATGTATATTGTAAGTGTGTATGTCTAATTATAGGTTCTTAATTGTTTCATTTTACAAATATATTTTCACCTATCCATGTCAGTTATATGTATCTATATAGATAATACCCTTTTTCCCACCTGGTGTCCCTTGTCAGTGGTGCAGGACGGAGGGCCTGACAAGGACAGCTTGTCATTCATATGTCCCGTGTATGGGCCTACATTGGCGTGCATGTAGTTGGAACTCGATATAAGAGTAGGCTTTATCGCCGCTGTCCGGGCAGAATTTCCCTCAAAGCACACTGTATGGCGTATGCCTGTCTTCATTAGCCCAGCGGGAGCAGAACAGTAGGACGTTAAACCCCATTTCATTTCATTTCATTTCATATGATGTGTTTGTTACACACACACACACACCCACACACACACACACACAATTGTCACTGCACTTATTTAGTATCATGTAACTTGTTTAGTTGAATAGCCTACTTCTAGTGTAATAAACGTATTCTACAATTATATCCGCTTGATAATACAAGGATCAACTCGAAAGGTTTCAAGGTACAGAGTACTATTGTATTAATATGTCAGTTGTTTTTAAGAATAAGACGAATCCGGTACTGAAGTGGCATGAGTTGAATGTCAGTGTAAATACCTTTCATTAATTAAAGATACATTATGGGAGATTCGGTAACGAGTTGGTAGTTCTCACTATAATAGTTAAAAACTAGATAATATAAAGGCAATTTGCTGAAAATTTCATTCAAATTGATCCGCTATGAACTGAGAACTATTAAGCGATTCAAATTTCCACCTAGCCTCGATCATCATGACTAAAGTCAGTACAATAAACAGCATAGTCTTTAATCGTTAAATCGTGAAGGAAAGTTATGCAGTAAATCGGCTCACAATCCACTAAAGATCGCAGACTAGCGCTGCCATCTAGAGTTGATTATGGTCTGGATAGGTTAATTAATAATTTAGATAACATTTCAGGCGTAAAGAAAGACCTGCAATAGACAGATTTACCTGTTGCATAATGTATGTCTAAATATCGATTTCCTACTATAGATGGACTATATATAAACACTTAATGAGGAATTAATTATTGTTTGCCCAACCGGGTCTATATTTCCTACTATAGATGGACTATATATAAACACTTAATGAGGAATTAATTATTGTTTGCCCAACCGGGTCTATATTTTATTTAAAATTTTAAGTATTCCGTTTTAAATATTTATATATGTAAGGGATTTGTACGGAAGCTCAAATACAAACTATTTTTTGTTTTTCTCGATTTCCTCGATTTGTATTTTTGATTTTCATTTTTTAAAAACAATGTTTATTTCTAATTTTTGATTTTGTAAAATAATTTTTAATTTTGTAAACTTAATTTCTAATTTTTATTTTGCACTTACAATATTATGAGTTTATTTTTTTATTTTGTTAATTTGATTATAATTTTAAACTTTTTTTTATAATTCTGAACTTATAATTTTATATTTTGTATTTTAATTTCCATTTTGTAAAATAATTAATAATTTTGTTTTTTGGAAAAAAAAAAATCTTTTTTGCTCGAGCACCAGACAGCGGTGCTACAGCTTACTCGTATATCGAATTTCAACTGCCAAGAGATCTTTTACGTGCACGCCAATATTTACACAGGACCTCCGTTTTTCGTCCTATCCAAAAGACTAGACAGTTGTCCTTATTAGACCCTCCGTCCTGTACCACTGACAAGGCGAACCACGCCGGAAAATCCCGATAAACCTTCTCGACCAAAACCGGGAGCGAGGTCGCGACCTCCGGCCTAGCTGGTCAGCGTCTAAGCTTACTAACTTAGCAATCGTGGCTCCCATGCCGGCGGCAGGGCATTCTAGTAGTAGTAATACCAGGCCTATTACTGTGGAAGATGTCAGTGAAGCGGGGTGGTCTGTTGTTTCTGAATAAAAATTTACAAAATTAGAAATTATTTTACAAAATTAGAAATTATTTTACAAAATTAGAAATTATTTTACAAAATTAGAAATTATTTTACAAAATTAGAAATTATTTTACAAAAATTAAAAATTAGTAATAGAAAACAATAAAAAAAATAAAATAGTTCGTATTTGAGCTTCCGTATTTGCAAAAATAGAAAACAATGAAAAAAAAAAAATAGTTTGTATTTGAGCTTCCGTAGATTTCATATATTTATTTCTAATTAAATTTTCTGTGATAATTGTTTTATTTACATACTAGCAGAATGCCCGGCTTCGCTCGGGGTTCATAAGCCCGAAACCGGAAGTGGTAGACTAACGCCACCTGGCCTATGTTACTCCCCGGTCCGAGCTAACCCTATACCCCAACTTTCAGACTCGGGGCAGACCTAGTGTAGCCGCCAACCCCGAACAGACAGACAGACAAACGACAGTCACAAATATTAGTATAGATAGATATATATAAGTACATCTCTGTGATGTTGTTTTAATTTGTCTCGTAAAACTCACCATTTGTTTGGCTCAATATATCCCGTTTGGTGTTAACGTGCCATTAAACAACATTTCATTACATTTATATCTGTAATTTTATAGTACGTGTTACTTGATTTCGTAAGATATGAATATACACCAAACCATTTTTTCACAACATTGTGTATTTTTACATCCTTCAAAATTCAATATGTAAAAGTACACTGTGACGTAGAAGTCCAGTCAATCTATACTAATTTTGTGACTGTCTGTTTGTCGGTCTGTTCGGGGTTGACGGCTACACTAGGTCTGCCCCGAGTCTGAAATTTGGGGTATAGGCGTAGCTCGGACCGGGGAGTAACATAGGCCAGGTGGCGTTAGTCTACCACTTCTGGTTTCGGGGTTATGGCCCCCGAGCGAAGCCGGGCATTCTTTTAGTTTATGATAAAAGACGGTTTGTAGAGATGGGTGTACGGAATGACATATTAAAAGTTTACCAAAATGGAAGAACCGGAAAGTCCCGAATTTTGAGATTAATTGTCGGGTCTTTTATGAAAATAGGGAGGCCAACCATCCAAACAATTGTGAGAAAAGGTGTTTAGGTGGTTTCTGGTTGATTTGGGTGTACCCAATCACAGCCTAAAAGTTGACCAAAATCGGAGTAATGGCAAGTCGCAAATTTTAATAGTAAATGCTAGGTTTTTAAAGTTATTTTCCTTTAAAACGTAAAGCTTCAGACAGGCATAAAGTCGTCTTCAATTTTCAAGCGAAGCAAATGAAACTGGAAAGGCTGGAGTCCAACCATAAAAACTATTCAATTGTTTTTTCGGGCAACTAGTTTCATTATGTATAGCAATCGGAGAGATTTCGATTTGACAGTTTGGAAACAGGTTTCGAAGTGTTTTGGCCCTGCTATGCAAGATCTTTTTCGACATTCCAAAATAAACGTACCGCGCTAACCCCTTAAAGATACATTTTAAATGTTCTTATTATTAAACATACATTATGTAAGATTTGGATAAAGAGGTACAAATTCTTGCAAAATTAATATTTTGAATATTTCATTCAAATTACTCTATTGCGAGCGAAAATATTAGCCTTTGAAGGTTTGACAAGACGTGCAATAATTTCTCCCACCGTACTGGTTGTTCAAAGCTAAGTCTCGCTCCTCCAGTTTTAGCTTAATTCAAAATAATCTATTTAATATCGGAGAAATTCGAATTCATTGAGGGTTGATTATGGTCTGGATAAGTTAATTAATTTAGATAACATTTCAAGCCTAAAGAAAGACCTGCAATAGCAAGATTTACCTCTTGCAACAGGTTTCTTTTTAATTTTTATATTTTACGCTGACGTGTATTCCGTTAAATCGGGGTCACAAAGAAGAAAGGTGAATTTAGCAAGTTTACATTTTTTGGAAAGTGTGTGATTAGTTTCGATCGTTTTCAGCATGTTTTCATGATGCAATAATGACCGAGTATTCACTTTCAGTGTAAATGACTTCATTTGACATTTGACCCCAAATATCTGAAAAACGTCTAACGGCGGACTGATTACCACTTGGCATCGTATTCTAAGCAAAAAGATACTGAGTCTTCAACCATTTAGGATTGGGCGAATGTCAAACATCCTGGATTTTACCAATTTTTGCCTCTTTCCAGTGCTCACAGTTTGGTAACTTTTTTGGATGTTATAAAGTGCACCTATATAAACGCAAAAATGCATTAAAAACTTTTCTTGCAAATTTCTAGGGGTAAAATCCTAAATTGACTGGCCTATAGATATACGGTGAATCCACTGGTTCTATCAATTGTACGATGTATGAGATATACTGACGTCACATAGTCTTATGTTATTGGTTGGTTTTCACGTGTGAGAGCCCCCGTGGCTAAAAGTGTAAAACGCTGTTCGTTAGCTTGGAGGTGTGTACGATCCGGATGTTGGCCGAGGAAGTCCATCGGTGCAGGGCCGAGGCCCCGTGTACATATTGGCGTGCACGTAAAAGATCCATTGGCAGTTGGAATTCGATATAAGAGCAGGCCGCTGTCTGGGCAAAATTTCAGTCATCGCATACTGCATAGCGTATGCCCGTCTTCTGTAGCCCAGTTGGGGCAGAACAGTAGGACGTTAAACCCCATTTCATTTCATTTTATGTTTTTCACGTGAAGTATTTCATTTATCTACCAGTTATTTGGTTTGTTACAGAACGAAAGTAGAGAGTACAGGTATTCCATCTAACAAGACACAATGGCCGAATCTACGTCACCTAATGGAACAGGTAAATAAAGCAATCTGTTTTCCTAGAATTTCATCTTTTAAGCTTCATATTTGATATATTATAAAAGGCATGATATATAAAACGGACACCCTAACCCTGACCCTGTCCCCTAGGAATTGTACAAATCAAGTTACATATTACGTTATGTAAGATTTAGATAAAGAGCTGAAAGTTCTCGCTAAAATAGTTGTTTACGATTTGTTCGTTTGTTAATGGGGCAACTTATAGTCGTTCAGATGTGACCCGTGTACACATTCGTGTGTATGTAGTAAGAACCGAGTAGGCCGTTGTCCGGGCAAAATTGCCCTCAGAGCACACTGCCCGTCGATTTTATCCAAGTCGGTGCTAATAGGTATACAGTACCCTCAAACACCATTTCAATTTATTTTATATAGAATTATGTTTTCATCCCAACAATTTAAGCCCGGACAGCAGATTTTCTGTCTATACTTCATCGAATTGCAAATGTCAAGGGTTAGTTCACGTTTTTTTTCCAAATCATTAGACACTGTTTGTTACTTGGGTCTCCATCCTGCATCAATGTCATTGGGAAACAACCCCGAGATATTCCGAGGAACTTTCTCCGCCAATACTTGGGTGAAACTTAGGACTGTTGGTCCACATTAATCACTTAGCCATTGTGGCTTACAGCAGACGTTACATTGACAAACTAGTTGTAAACTCCAATGACTATATCGTCCTTCAATACTTTTATTATGCCATTTTTCTCCCTAAATCACTCTCTTTACTCGCGCCATATTCTACACTACCGGTCTCCACTACCTCCCGCGCATGCGTACACCTCACTAGCAGACGACATACACACAAACAGTTATACATGTAAACAATGCAGTTGACAAGAGAAAGCTTGTGTACTCACTTAGCCACCATGGCCCTCAGCGAACGTTGTAATGACAAACTCGCGAATGGAACCCTGGTTTCTCAACTAACCGTCATGGCTCCCAGTTGACGGTTCAATGACAATGTTGCATCATGTGCCTCAGGGTGAAATCCTGTTCACCCACTTAGTCACCATGGCTCAACGTTGATGTTGTGATGACAAACTTATGGCATGTGCCCCAGGATGGGGGCCTGGTTATCCACTGAGCTATGGCATGTGCCCCATGATGGGGCCTGGTTATCCACTGAGCTACCGTGGCTCCCAGTTGACGTTGTAATGACAAACGTATGGCATGTGCTCCAGGATGGGGACCTGGTTATCTACTTCGCCACCATGGCTCAACGTTGATGTTGTAATGACAAACTTATGGCATGTGCCCCAGGATGGGGGCCTGGTTACCGACTGAACTACCGTGGCGCCCAGTTGACGTTGTAATGACAAACTTATGGCATGTGCTCCAGGATGGGTGGCCTGGTTACCGACTGAGCTACCGTGGCTCCCAGTTGACGTTGTAATGACAAACGTATGGCATGTGTTCCAGGATGGGGACCTGGTTATCTATTTCGCCACCATGGCTCAACGTTGATGTTGTAATGACAAACTTATGGCATGTGCCCAAGGATGGGGGCCTTGTTATCCACTGAGCTACCTTGGCTCCCAGTTGACGTTGTAATGACAAACGTATGGCATGTGCTCCAGGATGGGGACCTGGTTATCTACTTCGCCACCATGGCTCAACGTTGATGTTGTAATGACAAACTTATGGCATGTGCCCAAGGATGGGGGCCTTGTTATCCACTGAGCTACCTTGGCTCCCAGTTGACGTTGTAATGACAAACGTATGGCATGTGCTCCAGGATGGGGACCTGGTTATCTACTTCGCCACCATGGCTCAACGTTGATGTTGTAATGACAAACTTATGGCATGTGCTCCAGGATGGGTGGCCTGGTTACCGACTGAACTATCGTGGCTCTCAGTTGACGTTGTAATGACAAACTGGTATCATGCTCTCGGAAGAGAAATTAGCTGATCGTTTTTATCTTTTTATTTCAGATGAGGCATCCAACGGCAGATCAAAACATTCTTTGCTTTCTAGGTCCAAATCGTTGGGTAAGTTTACCATAAGTTTACCATACGGACTCTCTGAAGGTAACCCAGATAATACGGACACTCTGAAGGTAACCCAGATACTACGGACACGGGTGTGACAAAACGTACTTACGTGTCCTTTGAATCGAGACGAACATAATGATCTTTCTTGTCACACAATCAAAAAATATAGATCAATTAAAAACAGGTTTCCATAACGCAAATAAAATCTATTCGAAAGGGTGATGATCAACTACTAGACGTATTCGATTCATATAAAATGTATTTTGTTCTTCTCCAGCGCTTTGTCCTCCACGACACCAACCAATATCTTGCCGATCAAACTCTGAAGGCAGTAAGTATTTCATTGTATAATCTGATAAAACTAGAAATATACCTAATGTTTCCTTGATGGATTATATACTTTCAATAGCTATAGAACCCCGATGATGCCACCCTGACATTTTGGGAAAATTTTAAATATCCAAGATGGCCGGCATGTAGCATGGGTGATCTCGATCACTGATTGTGATAAATTTGATCAGTTACATACGTCACACAACAATATAACGAAATGAAACAAGACAAATAGTTCGATCAGTAGTAATAGTGATGATAGTTCTTTAAATTTTGATTGACGTATTCGACGGATTGGCACTGTTCCGTCTTCATTAGCCCAGTTGGAGCAGAACAGTAGGACGTTTCATACCACCCTTGACACACAGTTTAAGTTTAACATAGGTAGCATTGGCACACAGGGGCCTGTTTCACGAAATTTTAACTAAGATAAAATCCAAATTTTAGTAATTTGATTGGATAATATTAGATTGATTTTAGTGCTTAGTCAATCAAAATTGAAGTTTCTATTAAAATTGGATTTTATCTTTAATTAAGATTTCGAGAAACTGTAGATAGGTCTTAAACTTTATACTAAACTATCGTGTAAATCTGTTCCGTTTTAGATGTTGAATTCCCCGCTGGCCAACAGGTTAACATTGGTATCACTGGAACTGTAAACAACATGATTGTGAACTCTCCAACGTCGTCGACGTCGTCTACAGAAGATCTGAGAGGTTAGTACCCAGAAAGATTACCTCACAACAGATGGGAATAGGTGGGTTAGGGTTAGGGTTAGTATTAGTATAAAGATTACCTCACAACAGATGGGAATAGGTGGTAGTTCAAATTCAAATTAAATGAAGTGTATAGAGGCACTGTCTCAACGACAGTGTTTTGGGGTTAAATACACATCCCCGGCGATATTGTTTTTACGGTTAAATGGTTAATTATAGGGTGATGCTATTTGTGGGCCAGTTGGGGAGGGTTGGGGATTTTGGGAGTTCAAATGGCGGCTTTAAATAAATGATTATTTTGGGGAATACTAACCCTAACCCTTTTAAGAGGGGTAAAATGTAAATTGGGCCCAATTTCAGTCCTCTAAAAAATTGATAGGGTTAGGGTTATTATTCATTCTTTGAATGGCATTTAGTAATTGGAACATAATCGAATAACACACTATTTATGGATAACAATTACTATGGTTTATTTCACTGCAAAGTTTCAACAAGATTTCACAAGTCGTTATCAAGCATATACACGAATAGATAAAATAAAAATAATATGGTTATATATATATACACAAGAGCAGTGCGATATAACCATATTATTCTAATTTTATTGATTTGTGTTATATGCTTGATAACGACTTGGGAAATCTTGTTGAAACGTTACAGTGAAATAAACCATAGTAATTGTTATCCATAAATAGTGTGTGTAATTCGATAGTGTTAGGGTTAGTATTCCCCCAAATACTCATTTATATAAAGCAGCCATTGTAGACTCCGGAAATTCCCAAACCTCTCCGTCTAGCAAAAACAATCTCGTTGTCACAGCAATACTAAGTTATACTGCTTATTGGGAGCAGTATAACTAAATTGTGAATTCCACAGAGTAAATACTGTATTTTATAATAAAATATACTTTTAAAGCTTGATTACACATGGTAAAAAAAGAAAATTGCGAAACTAAACTGAGCTAACCTTAACCCTAGAATGTCAAATTAAAAACGTTGTCCTAACATTAACCCTTAATACTGCTGTTGTCATTAACGCCACCCTAAAAATATGGTTGCCTTTAAATATACTTTCAATTTAAACATAACACATTGTTTAATCATATTTCTTTTTTTCGCCGATAGCAAAGTGGTATTTGTCGCAAGGGAAGCATCGCAGTGTTGAAAGTAAAGCTTGCAAAGTTGGATTGAAGCGTCTCATGAAATACAGCTGTTGCTGTATTGTTGGAGGTCCACGTAGCGGGAAAAATGAGATCGCGAACAAGATAATAAGTACTTTTATTGCAAATAATAAAACTACGGGTCTAACCGTGGTTCCAGTCCTGATTGATCAACCGTCGGATTTAGGCCGATTAAACAAATCCATAACTGACAACAGTCATGACAAATATCTCCTGTTTTTTAAAGATATGTTCGGTTGCCACCGTGTGAGTGATTTGCCTTGGGATCGATATTTAGATTTTTTGGATAAAAAATTAGAGAAAAAAGTTATATCCGTCATTGTCACGTCCAGAACGATGATTTATCAAAAATTGAAATCAAGTTTAAAGTCTAGTTCTATATTTCATAAAAACACTACGATCTTGCTTCATCATAAAGAATATATTTATACCATAGCAGATAAACGAGAGATGTTGAAAGCCACCAAGGTACCGCTGGAGGAATTCACAGACTCTGCGATTAGTCAAATTAGCGATATAGCATTTTTAGAATGTCTTAATACGTATCAAACAAAGGGAGATAACAGTGGAAAAGAAGTTGAGAACTTTAAAACACAACAACTGAATATAATTTTAGCTTGGCTTGACGATCTGCAACGGGGCCCTGAACAACGAAGTTATATCGCTCTTTTAGCGGTACTCTTACATAATGGTTCGTGGAATTGGGATCAACGATACGAAATATCCCCTAGAAAGTGTTCGGTATTGGAAGCAATGAAGTCGACATATGGTAACTTTGATCCAGATGATGTTCAGAAAGCTTGCGAGGATTTAACTGGAACATTTCTATTGCGTGATGATTCTGGTTCGTATACATATATTGAAGACATCGTGGGAGTTGCAGTTCTACATTTAGCTTGGCGGAAATGGCACAGCCGGATTACAGATACGTGTTCTCTACGCATTATTCTCGAATGGATCACCACAGCGTGTAACGTATGTAGCGACCAAGATCGAACGACGCTATTCGAGACCCTGGCGTGTCGAATGCAGAAAGAAAGTAGCAATGAACAGGGATGCGTTTTAAAGCATTCAGCTTTTCTGACTGGATCTTTTCTCAAACCCCTGTTTGAACATTTACCCCAAGAGTGGAAATCAAAGATATCCAAAAGACTATTTTTGGATGCGTACAGTCAAATCGATGCCTTAGGTTTTCAGACACTTGTTGAGCACACGTCATCGTCATTCATAGGAAGTTCACCAAACGGCATTAACGTCATTGAATTGGTCCTTCATTCTGAAGTTGATAGAGTGGAAAAGTTAGTCAAGTTACTAGAACGTCATCCTAGTTTACCGAGCTCAAATCTGTATGGTAAAGATCGAACCATTTTGCATTACACAGCGGAACTGTGGAATGCCGATCAAATTCAGACGTTGCTGAAATCCAATCCTACGCTTTGTGTATTGTTGAATATCGGAGATACTGCTGGTCAGACCCCATTTCACGTTGCTTGTTTAGCTGAAAACGGATGTGACATAATCCATTGCTTACATGATGCCGGCGCCGACGTTAACTCCGTTGATAATCAGCAAAAAACAGCTCTGCATCTTGTAACGCAGAAAGGCGGTGACGTAGAAAAGATCGAGTTGTTATTAAGATTAGGAGCTTGCGCAAACATGAAAGATGAAAACGACCGCAGTCCATTACATTGTGCAGTGAACGCGAAAAATATTGATGCAGTTCGGGTTTTACTGGGGGCAAATGTCGATGTAACACTTGAAGATGAAGATGAAGACACACCTTTATCTCTTGCCTGTTCACTTGTTGGAGATCAAGAAGCCATAGTTAAACTTTTAATAGATCACAGATCCGATATTAATCATACGAATCATTATTCTCAAACCTGTTTATTTCTGGCAACAGAGAGTCAGAATGTGAATGTCGTGCGATGTTTGTTAATGAACGATGCGGACGTGAATTTTCCATCGGCTAACGGATCTACGTCACTTCACAAGGCGATTAGCTCAAAGAAACGTGCTTTAGAACTAGTCAAACTTCTGGTTGAGCATGGTGCGGACATTAATTTAAAGGATCAACGGGGTGAAACGGTTCTCGATAAAATACGTATACGTAAGGAATTTCAGAACTTGGAGGCTGTTAAACATTACTTGCTTCGCTACTGTTGACCATCATGTGAAAGAAAACGAAATAAAATGGGGTTTAACGCCCAACTGTTCTGCTCCGACTGGGTTAATGAAGAGGGGCATACGCCACGCAATTTACTATGAAGAAACTTTTGCCCGGACAGCGGCACTACGGCCTACTTTGTCAAGGGTTATTTTACGTGCGCGCAAATTGGTACACGGAATCTCGGTTTTTGTTCTCCCATACGAACTGTTAGCGTTGTCCCTTTAATAGTCCCCCCCCTCCACGCCCCGTCCAGTACCACTGTCAAGGGGGAACCATACCATACTGTTTTTGACGTAAGAAACAAACTTTGGCTCTCCACAGACTCAAAATTCCAATCTAAATTACTCCGAGACCGACAAAGAATATGTATGATTTACTGGCAACCCGCAGTGGAAAAACCCTAGTGAGCTAACTCACTATACACTTTTTCGTAGTTGGGGAGTAGTTTGTGATGTTTACGGGGTATGAAGTTATACTACTATAGGGCCTATATACTGTAGAGTTTACCCAAGTTCTGTAAATATGTTCTGGTTAATGTATAAAGTCGCTAGTACCAGTGACAACAAGAACTAGGGTAACAAGAATGTCTGGTAGTTTAATATCGGGCAATGACATCATAGTCTGATAATCTGATAATCCAAATATGGTAATTCTACTTTGTGGTTATGGCGTGTATGTAATATGAGAGACAAGGGTGACTATTAAGATCTGGTTATCTTGGGTGTCAGTGACTAATTTCGTTCGTATTTCACTCTTCACACTGATTAGACTCACGCGCAGGGGGTCTTGAACATTAAATATCCCTTGAAGGCAAAATTCAACTCATACACCACATGGGATTGTGTCAAACTGCACGCAGCGATCCATCTACGTTAGCCTCCATTTAAAACGCTCACGTGATCATTTTGGGGCGGGACTTATCGACTGGACTGCTGCTTTGTGTACAAAACAGAGTAAAATAACCCGATCAAGCACGTGTTTTATGTAAACACATGTCATTGGCAAAATGTCAACTTCTGCCATTCCGCTAAAAGCGATATATGATATGTGCTAGTGGGTAATATTGCAATACATTTTTTGCCATTGTAAACTGTCTTTAGGGTTTCAATCTGTTTATCTTTCAAAACAAGGTTACTCCTAAATTTGTCTTCGCAAACAAAACCGCCTCTGTGAATTTATCTTTCATTGGGCGCCGCCATATTGAATAATTAGAGGACTATTTTGTGATTCGGCTTTGATTAGTTTGACATCTTTCATACACACAGCGCGGCTAAATAAACATATTTAATTTTATTCAATATGACAATAGACGAGAAACAAATACTCCTAAAAATTACTAAAAGCATACTCAGTGTTTCCGACTTAAATCGTCGATGTAGGAATTAAAATGTCGGGTAATTAGCTTAGGTCCTGTTATCAGGCGGAGCTAGCTGTAGACAGGCAGCCTAAGTTTGGGTTGGTGTAGGAAGCTAAAGCCCATTCCATTTCATTTCCGTCATTGAGAAGACAAACAGTAGTCATAGAAGTGTATTATAGCCGCGGGCTCGCAAACGATCCAAATCAGGCCCCGAAGTCAAATGGAATTAAGTGAATTATCATTAGGCCATAAGTCTGAGTTACTGAGAGACAGAACAAGGGTAATAACACTAACAATATGTATAGCAGCAATCAAAGATAACCAACAATTTTATTCGCCTTCTTGACATAAAACCTGTGTAGATTTATATCATGTCATCTTTGTGACATTGACAGGATAATATATATTTTATTTTTGTCTTTGGTTTTATTTGAATTGTTCTAACAATCACACAAAATGCGGAATGTACAATCTGATTAAAACACAGATTCTATTTCGTTTCGTTTCTTTATATTTCAACATTTCGTTTTACTTGTCTTTATTACACTAGGATCTGGAAGAGTTGTTATATAACCCGCGTTCTGGGTGACGTCTGGGATTAGCCATTGAAGCGGTCTGTTACGACGAGTTTTAGGCGTGAGTTGTACTCTGATTGGTTAATCAAATTTCTGACGTCATAGGTTCAAAGCCCCTCGTATGACCTCTTATGCGACCTCCCACTACAACTGGTCAGATCTTCATGTAGTAGAGGCCATCGAAAGTATAAAAAAAAAACGAAACGAAAAATAGATCTGTATTTTAATCATGTTGCGGAATGTATGTCAACGATTTTATGTTCAAATCCTTTCAAACCGAATCACCTCTTCTCCTTTTGCAGCTACGTTATCGTCATCTATCTTATCTTTATCGGGTAGCGCAAAGTAAAGTTTTTCCCAAAACCATGGATCGCCATATTTAACGTATGTCTTAGTTTTTAAAAGTGTTCTTAAATCAGGATCCACGGCGTCTTGGTCTATGTCATCAAGTAAAACAATAACAATATTTTCCGCATGATTAGTTAGAACTTCATGGTGAGCCGTTTGAAACTCAAATTTGCACCATTCACTCTGTAAAAAATTATTTGAAATAATCAACAAAGTTCTTCTACTAGCGTCCACGGCTTCTATAATATTATCGGCGATAGATTCACCGACTGGGAAATCTCGAAAATGAAGGCATAGTCGCAATTTCTTCCTCTGTTCTAATTTAGGCATAAGCTCTTTAAGTATAAATTCCTCGTCCTTACTGCTATGCGAAACGAAAGCGTCATATTTATATTCGCGATCATTGTTTTCCTTGCCTGGAACGAAACGCACACCAAACTTTGTATAAATAACAACTTGTACAAATTGTCGTTTCCACACGATTAACACCGCTAGAACAGCTAGAGAAGAAAAGAAGAAGACCAAGCCTATTATTGGTCCAAGTAAACGATCATCCTCTTGTAAAACCTGTTGAATTATAGTTGTATTAACTATAACAGTTTTATTGGAACACAGACTCGAGTAGTTATAATCGAGAACACCCATCACGCGATCAGTTGAATTCCAGTAAAGTTCCGGCATCGTGATATTTACCGAGTCGTTGTAATTTAACATGTTTTCTTCACTTGCTGGCCATGTGCAAGCTATGTCATCGATATCTTTGATTCTCTCGGCGTTTATTGTTAGAAAGTCTCGGAACTCGGTGATAAAATCACACCGGCAACTCCATGGATTGTTTGATAGTGACACTGTGGTTATCTGGTTGGAGTTCAACGAATCTAACGAACCCAGATCGCTCAGTTTATTGTCGTGAAGAGACAGGCTAAGTCCGTGGTTTAATCCGTGAAAGGCATCAGACACGATAAAGGAAATGAGGTTATTATGCAGATAAAGTTGTTCCAAAGATTTGAGATTCTGAAACAATCCAGAAGGAATGGATGTCAATAAGTTGTGGTCGAGATAAAGTGCTTGTAGTCTCGGCATTCCATCAAAGCATCCGGGTGATAGCCATTTTACCCTACTTCCGTTTAAATAAAGAGTATTCAAGAGATCCAACTCCTCCAAGAAATGCCTTGTTACCATGGGGATATCGTTTCCTGATAAATTGATCTCGGTTGAGCCGAGTGGAAGTCTAAGCGGGATGGAAGATAAATTTCTATTCTGGCATTGAATCTCGTTTGTCTGAAAAATCATGACACTTTTTTTACACTGACATCCTTTGGGACACCGATAGACACAGGGACAGTCACCATTAAGTCTATAGTTGCTGTCAAGACAACAACCACATCCCACATCACATTCAAAATCATCCTTCTCATATTCACAAACAAATTTAGATGTCGGATAATCCCTCAGTTTGATCAAAGATGGACCGTCATTTTCACAAAATGTTCTGTCAATGTCCGGAAAATATGGCAACTTCTGTAGAGTTGATGGAAGTATGATTCCTGGAATTGTCAGAGCTTTTAACCACATCATTCCACAATCACAGATGAATTCATTGAATCCGATATAAACCGTTGGTTGATGTGCTGATCCCAAATAAAACGAATATGTGGACAATTTTCTCAAGTATCGATAATTGTACTGTAAATTCAATTTATGTAAATTTTTAAGTTTCGTCATCAGCTGACCTAGAGTGCGAATCCGGTTGCTGGACAGATCCAAGAGAACTAGTGATTCGGGAAACATATCCGGATAGACTCGATCAATTTTATTATGGTCTAAGAAAAGCTTTTGAAGATTTGTAAAATACGACAAGTCACTGGATAATCGTGTCAGGTTGTTATAATCCAGTCTTAAGAAATTCAATTTGTTGAGATTTCCCCACGGTGTCGAATATAACAGGTGCTTTTGTATCGACAAGATCTGATTATGAGATAGATCGATATACGATAATTCCGGTGAGTCTTTAAATGCCATGGATGATACAAAAAATAAACTGTTATTTCTCACACTTATCCCTACCAAGGAAACCAATCCTTCAAAACTTGTTGATGTTAGGCCATTTAATAAATTATCTTTCAAATCTAAATGTGTCAATTTGGTGCATTTGCTAAAGGAGGGCAGTGCTTTCAAAGTGTTTCGTTTCAAAAATAAGTTTTCAAGGGAGATTAAGTGCTGGAATATATTTTTAGGTAAACTGGCTATTTTATTCGAGGTTAGATTTAGTTGAATTAAATCGGTAAGATTATCAAAACTTCCTTGTGTTATAAATTTGATCTGATTAACGGAAATGTCCAGTTTGGTCAACCCGGGAGGGGTAAAAGTACCTTTATACACGTGAGTAATAGCGTTATGAGATAAATTTAAGTGTCTAAGATTGACCAAATCATCCAGTAAACCAGGTTCAACTGATGAAATACGGTTATCAGATAAATCCAAATCTTCTAAAAGCGTTAAATTTAAAAAGGTTGATGAAGGTAGGCTTGTGATGTTACACTTAATCAACTTTAACTGGGTCAGGTCGGGGAGATGTCCTAGTTCCCAAATTAATTTATCATCCGGGTACACATTTTGTAAATGTAATTCCTTTAACTTGGGATGGTCTCGTGGAAAGAACTCTAACATTTGTCCGACACCAACCAAATGCAAGACATTTAGCTTGGTAAGGTTTCTCAGATTTCCGATATGTCCCTCCAATATCGTTCCCGTTAGATCCAAACTTTCTAAATATCCCAAATCGTTTAAATTAGTTTCCAACTTTAGTGGAGCACCATGACATATTTTCAGGCTAATCAGATTCGGAGCACAGTTAGATAAATTTGGAAATGTTTTGAAAGCGTTGCCACTAAAATCGATATGTTTTAACGATAGATTCGCGACTTCACAGTTTTTTTCAAACATTCCATAACTCTCCAACCCGTTGTTAGAAATGTTCAACACTTCAAGATGGTCAAGGTCACGTATTTCCGGAAACGACGTCAGGCCGCTGTCAGAAATTTCCAACTCAACTAAAGATGTGTTGAATATCAGTGACGTATTCCGCAAAAAGCATGACGTAAACCTGATGTTTCTTAATCTTGGCCATTGAAATAATGTTGTCGATATTCCGTCGAAACGACAACCGATAAATTTTACGGAGTGAAGTTTCGATAAAAGAAGGAAGAGATCAGCAGGGGGAGTTTGCTGTAAATATTTATTGAAGCAGTTGACTTCTAAAATCGACACCGACTTAGGCAATAAGAGTAAACTGGATGTTTCATGACATGTCACCTTGATGTCCGTTGAATTGACACTCAACGATTCACACTGACAATCTGGTACTTGGACACATGCTGTGACGACTGATCCGGATACAAATAATGGAATGAACAGCAAACTATAAATTAATGTATCCATCACATCCATACTGAAACAGAAAACGTGTATCAGTTATTAAACAATACAACAGTATTGAGAACATACATGAACATAACCGATCTGATTGTACATGACAAGGGGGAGGGTCGCCTGTCCAACCTCGTGGGGTTTTCCCGGTTTCATCCATCTGCTAAAACCCCTGCACACAAGCGAATTATTGAAATAAAACTGAACCATGTGTTAGTCCCGAAATGACCTAGTTTGTATCGAGTGGACGTTAAACTCTATGTCTCTCTCTCT